GTATTTCTTTTAAGTTTTGCAGTCTTCCCCTTACCGTATCGGATCAACTGTATTGTTGTGGCCCAGAAGTCATTGCCGCTACCCGCGTCAGTATGAGACGTGTTTGCCATGGCGATGAAAAGATTTGCCAATCAGCGTAACCTATCCACCGACTGTTGCACAAGGTGCACCAGAAATACAGAGGACATGAACAGTTTCTCCATTACATGGAGGCTCCTTTCCAAACCTGTTGATTCTCACCTAACAAGTCGGCACAGTTACTTCGAGGCATACATTAAACCTTCAAATCGTTTATCAGGTATTGTGTTTCTCTTTAAAGAATAGCATTGGCACGACTATCATCAACCAATTACAATTTCACTTCTGGGCAGGAAGTCTTTTGAGGAGATAGTTTAGGCTTATAGTTCGCAATGCTTGAATGAGGGGAGTTAACTCGTTCTTCAACCCTCTTTCTTTCCGAAATAGGCATGAAATTATTTACATCACAATACCTAATCAACTTTTCATGAGACCACGTCAGATAATTGATTAAACTGAACGGATTCATATGGTGCCGGCGCCACTCTCTCTGCGATCTTACCCAGTTGAAAAGCTGTCAAACTAACGTGGCATTTGTAAACAAAGAAACCATTATCGAGAGATATTAAGAGTTTATACAACCTGAAATGGCTTTGGTTGATTCCGCCTAACAGTGAAAGTGTTGAATTAATCACTTTTGAAAAAATATATAGTAAAATTAAAAATTTCCACGATCGGAAAAAAACACAAACTTACCTCGGAATTTTGCGGGAAAACCGCTGTGTTTAATAGGTACATAATTTACATATACAATTTTTTTTTGTATCAACAGAACTGAAGCACGTATAGTATATGGTAAACATTTTTCAAATGCCTTTAATATCGTTTTTAAAAAAAAAATCTGAAATAAAGCTAGCGCCTCTGCCGCGACCCAAGCAAAATGTACCATATTGATACGGGAAAAATTTTAATTTCAGCTGAGGTAGTATCCACTCTCAATGTTATTCGTAGATAGCTTAGTAAACGGTTTCACTAATAATTAGAAAACAACACGTACTATAAAGATTATTATGTAAACAATAAAGTTTGAAGTGATACCTGGCTCCATCACACATATATATAGTCCCACTGCTGGTCACAGGCTCATAATGAGAGGGCTTGGGCCATCACGCGGGCGCAATGTGTATTGGGAGCTTCACACACATCATTAAATCGCTTTGCAGATGTGTGCAGGTTTCCTCATGTTTTTCTTCGCCGAAAAGCTCATGTTAAATTTTTAAATTAAAATTCCGCACATTTCCGGAAAAATCAGAATTCAAACACGCAACCCTCTGCTTGAAAGGCGGTTCGTCAAACCATTAGACTACTACGATGTTTGTACATCACAATACAAAACATTTTTTTTTTCTCAGCTAAAATTATTGCTTACTTCTTTTTGTATTTGAGGGGGCGTTACGACATTTTAGGTAAAATAAGATTTGAGAGTTTAAAAGCGCAAGCCCTACAGTTACTTGTTCGTTCTTCTCAGAGAAATCTGCCTTCCAAATGAGAAATAGACTTAATAATTGTATGAAATAAAGACTCTATGAATTTGGAATTGAGTCGACTTTTTAAACAGTTTACCTGAGTCCGTGTTATTTGTAAAAGAAAAAGAGAACTATATTACTTTTTATAGTCCAACCATCAACCACAACAAGCAACACGGCGAGACACTATCGTCACGTCCCACTGCGGGGTACGGGTTTATTTTTACGTTATATTCGTCGACCTTGCCCTATTGCGTTTTGCCTAAGCGGCCTAAGCGTCCCATTATCTGATAACACAGTATTCCTATCAGCTTTTACGTAAATATGTATTATTAAATGATAGAATTAGAGCCATAGCTACGTATTTATGGCTACACTTTGCTTTACCATTTGACCATCTTCTCCCATTTTTGTACGAGTTTATGAAGGTCAACTTGTATGTAAATATCCGGTACGTACTTTATAATACTATATATATATTTTTTAATATAACTTATATGTCGTAGTAACAATGATTTAGTAAGAACATGCTTTGAAAGTTATAACTTTTTATGAAAAAAACTGACCTCAAAAGTTCTTGGAATTACATCTATTTGCCAAAGTTTTATTCAAATCGGTTATCGGTTATCGGTAGCGCGAAATCGGATTCATTGCATACTTTGCCATCCTTAGAGGTGGAATATTTTCGTAAAATTTAAATGGGATCAAAACTGAGGTACCTACCCCTTTCCAACAAAAAAAATAATCTGCGAAATCGGTTCACAAATGCAGTGAATAGTCGCGTAACATGCCCACAAAAATAATGTATTATAAGAAATATATATAGGAAATGAAACTATTTTTCCGGATTTAAATCGCGTATATTTTTTTTTTCAAACAAACCGACGTTTCGGGCCCTTTAAAGGTCCCATGGTCACGGTTGACTGAGGTGGTACAGTCTTCAACCAGTTATGTCTAATATTAATGCAAACCACCCTATTTTCTCACTATAGTTACAATAGTTATTAATTAAATACCTTACTTTTAATTTTACAAAGAAAACATTCCAATTTACGCTACATTAAGTTTCACAAATTATTTTATTGAATGAATTTTTATTAAGTTTAATTTATTATTAATTATTAATAGAAATTAGAATAAACTAAAACATATTAGTTAGTACTGCAGTCTTATGTCTGTTTGGGATTTTTCATTAGAGGAAAATAGTTTCATTTCCTATGTGTAACAATCGCGAAAACCTAAGAACTCGATAAGAAATATATATTCAAATATATATATATATATATATATTTCACACACTTAGGCGTGGTCATAGTAAGCTGTGACCACGCCTAAGATTTTTGATGTAGTTTAATTTATACTCAACATTGAACAAAAGAATCTGCTACTTAATACTAAAAGTTCATTTATTTTAAGACAAGTCTGATTTTTTTTGTGATACTAAGTGACTGGACGTACGAGTATTGGGACTGGTGTCACGCCTGTCTAAAGCAGTTGCAGTGTCACTCAGAGCTTTAACTCGCAAAGAGCTGAGGAACACTTCACTAACATTTTTACCCTTCAAAACCGAAAAACAGTAATGCTCACATTACTGCTTGGCGGCAGAAATACGTAAGGTGGCAGTACTTCCCTGGAGGAACTCTCTCACAAGGAGCTCTACTGCTACTAGAATGATAGACTGAGAGTCCGGTGAGATGTAATACAATTCTAGTTGCCTAGTGTGGATTACCGGGTACCACATTTAACATTGTAAAGTCTTTATTTAATTCAACTGCTGTACATTTGTGTTGAGATCAGAAATATAAGTATTTATTTATAACGGAACGTCTTGTAGGACCTAGGGGCTTACCACAACCTCTTAAAACAATATTACTTTAACCTTACATTGACTTTTCGTACCATGACGCGCTTAAAGTAAGCTTATTATGATGTTAAAACTATGGTGGTTTATTAGCAGCTTTGTGACTATTCATTCACTCAGTTCGTACTATGACGCGACTTTACAATTAAAGTAATTTTGTTTATTGTTTGTTAATATTGATTAAAAGTTAAGTTGAACTTATTTCTTTACATATATCTCTTCAACATTTTGTTTATTTTTTATTTAATAGTACCTACATAGGAAATAATTTTTCGTTAAATAAAAATACACGATGTTTATTTCGTAAAATTATGACAGCGACATATATATGCTTCTTGGCGATACTAACAGTTGATACTAGACTTTATTTCCGAATGCACAACGTGAAAATCAAGATTCAGCTTGTTTTATTTATTTTTGTTCATGAAAATGCGGAAAAATAATTGAAAACAACGTAATTTTAATGGCTTTTACTATTACACACTTTTCTTTTTTTAACAGTTAAAATTCTCTGAATTTAAATAACATTAAGTACTTAAACATTATACTCGATAAGACGATTGGGAACATCAAAAAAGAAAGAGATGGCATTATATAGTTCAAATAGCGTTATTTCTTTCCTGTTTTTAGTAAGGAATAGAAAATATTGGGAAATCATTCGTTCTTTCAATCACTTTAGCAATAATATATTACCTGGTTGACAGGTTTGTCACGATACCAATATGAGTAATGTTATAATAAGCTTACTTTAAGCCTACATTGAAATAAGATTGTTTTTGGAAATGTTATGGTAGGCCCCCTGACAACTATTATAGAATCTCATTAACACCGAAATGAAGAGCAGAAGTGAAGGAAGAATACCAAGGACACACTGGCTTGACCTGAAAAGAGGAAGAGAAAAAATATTTGCAGAGGACAGAACCAACAAGAGCCGAGTTTTAAAATCTGAAGGAGTCACCTCACACACACGCGAAACACGTGAGCATTATGTACTTGCAATAACACGGCCGATTGCCGACGCGAAAATCATAACGTCTTTTTTGTTCTTATTCCATGGACATTAAGCTTTTTCGGGCTGTAATACATACTTTACGAATACGCGCACTACCCTTTAAAACTTTTTAACGACTATTGTATAATACTTTTAATGGTGTCGACGTACTCTATACTCTCCGATAAACTCTTGCGGTTGAAACATAGAACAATGCCCATTTGGCATGCATAAAATATTTGTTTATATATCATTATGAACATAAAATGGTGTACATAGTATCTTTAGTTATGTGTTAATCCCACTGTATGTCTTATGTAATAATATGAACATAAAAAAAATAACTTGTAGATGTAGCTACGTGTGCGTTGATCTGACAAAGTAGTCAGGTGTTTTCTATAATAGAGTAGTGTGAGAGAGCACTCTGTCTGCGTAATAAGCGTGTGTGAGAAAAATAACCACAAGGTAGAGGCGAAGAGGCCCATGCCCCGCCCGCCGCGCCCTGCCTTAAGCAGCTCCCGACTCTCGCCAAACGCATTTTGTAAACAAACAAGAACGAAGTCGCGTGAATGATATTAAGGCGTGCGCGCGAGACCCGCCGCTCATTCCGCCGCGAACTGTCGGCCGCGCCGCCCGTCCGCGCCGCAATATGATTGACTACGCGCGTCCTCCCTACGACCAAAATATGTACGATCTGCACCTCCCCCCGACGCCGCCCGCACCCGCTCGCCTCGACGACTTCCAAGTTTTCAAAAAAGGTGCCGCGTCCTACATCTACGGGAATTACTACAGCAACCCTTCGTACGACTCCTACATCGAACCAGATATTGACGCAGCCAACAACGTTTACCACAACCTTCTTTCATCTCGCGAGTGCCACCGTGACAACTGGAGAAACAAGATGATCAGCCACTGGAACGAAGAAGATACAGTATCTTGGATTATTGACAGCACACAGTGCATGGGCTTTACAGAGTATGAAATTCCGTATTACAACTTTAGAATTGTTGGCGCCGAACTGCAAGATATGAAAAGAGAGCACTTGATACAACGGTTTGCACATCCAAATGTTGATCCAAACTTGACAAGAAGAATAGGAGACAATATTTTCGACAAACTACAGAGTTTGCTGCAACAAGACATATACAGACAGTCCACAGTTCTCCGTTATGCGGAAGGTGACTCCTATTCTCAGGATCATATAGGAACAGTGTTAGATTTAGATTCACAGGACCACAAAAACAGATTATATTTGTCAGATTACAAACCAAACGACAGCAGTCTACTGATAGGCGCGTGTGACTCGAGTGACGACGCTGAATATGATGTTCTGCGTTCGTCAGAAACCGCCTCTCCAGAATACGACGGTAGCGATGGGAGCAAGTCTGGAGACGAGGATGATAAGAAAAAGTTGTTCAAGAGAGCTCCAGGTCGGCCCAAGGGCAGCGGAAAAAAGATCTGCAAGCGTCCCCGTAGCGTTTCCGTTCCGGAGTTCCTAAGAAATCTGTTATTGGATCCAAAATATTGCCCGTCTATAATCAAATGGGAAGACCACTCACTTGGGAAGTTCAGGTGAGTTAAGTCGTTGTAACATAATTAAGATTGTCCTTCGTATTGTAATGAGGGTGTTGTAAAAAGTGCAGTGTCGTGACTCGGTCATTTGTCGCTGGCTGCATGTCGTCTATGTGTAGCTAATACATTGTTTGTCACGTAGCTGGCACGTGGAAGAGCACTCGTATAGCAATAAACTGTTTTACAACTAGACTATTGAGAACAATTGAGGCAACAGGTTTGTGTCGCGTGTTGAATTGGTCGTTAACAGCGTATAGAGAATAGGTTTAGCCAGGTGACAAAAGGTTCGTCATTATGCATAAATCAAGTTCAACCTTTGCGCTTCTAAATTCTGAAATAACTAAAACAATTATGTCTGTTGAAAAAATATCTATCAGAGTAATAATAAGATCATAGTCGGTTGTCAATTAAATAATTATGTCCAGAACCGGTCTGCGAGGCGCTGTGAAGCGAGTGCGTGTAATTAGTCGGCAGGGTCAATGTGAACCGCTTCAACTTCAGTATGCTAATTGTTTAACTCACTATTATCTTTACGATCCTCTTTGATTGTAAATATTATTATATTTTCTGATATATGACATTGTTAAGCAGTTTGACCTTCGTGAACATCAAGATATTACGTTTTTAAGAATGATTCATCTATGTAATGCTCATATGTAGTAAATTAATTGTAGCTTCTATGATTATTTCAATAAAAATGACATTCTTAAAGGAGGTTCCATTTTTTTTTATGTCATTTCAAATCATATATCATATATGTATTTGAATGTGCTACATAAATACATTTAGTTATCATCATCCTTGAAATAGCTACTTTATCATGTAGGTCTACTTTGCTACATATCTACCTTATACCTATACACAGTGAGTTCAGAATGCAATGACTTAGAGTTCGGAACCAATTCATAAGCATTATAATTATGGTTAACATTCTGAACTGCGACAGACGAGTTCATATAAAAATTCCCATTACCAGAATAGACTGGCGTTCAGAAAACTGCAAAGTGTTTTCAGTTAAACTGGAGGTTGACTGGATTGTTAAAAAGTGTGGTCATGGACTATCGTAATCTTAAACCATGCTTTATTCTTATGCATACGTTTTTATCACTCGCCTTAACCTTGCAGACATCGTGGCCTTGGTTAATCGTTCACACGTCTGCCTTGCAACCTTAACTTATCACTCTACTAACACCTAAGTCGCCAAGTTTAAAGTTGAAATTACAGTGTTTTAAAGCCTGATAGAGTTGTTGAGAACTACAAATTCAAATAGGTTGTATAGTATGTGCTCAAACGGTTATTGTAAAGATTCTTGATATGGCATGTGTTATTGGTAAAACTTAAGAAGGTGTCCTTAAAAAAACGTGCTTACAATAATTCATTCATCTAGTAAAATCGTCCATTTTCTCGTGCATGTTGTAGGTAATATTGTAACGTTATCAGTGAAAGGTTACTGGATTAGACCTATGCTACGAGTCTCCTAGTCTCCTAATTGAGACTATATACTGTATTAGGAGCTTGTGTTTGGATTCTTAATTGAATTTGGGCTTTTTTAAGGCGAGGATGCATGCGTGGGGACACAGGTCAAAAAATTTCCGTTCTCAACAATATCATCATCTACCATCATGCGTGGTAGCGGTCTAACGGTCTTCTTATTTAGCTATCTCCCGATGTGTTATTGCAAAAAAAATACAGTTGTGTTTCTTTGGCTCTAGATCATCAATGCGAGTGTTTTGTACTTAATTTGGAAGCGAAAATATTTTTGGCATAAAATTTGTTACTTTCTATCAACACCATTAACTGGAGTTTTAAATGAGATGAGACACTATACTTTCCTCGAATAATCTATAAAAAAAATCGAGTCTCGAAAATCCCAGGCCAAGTGAGATTTTCGAGACTTTTTCAAAAGGTCTAAAGGTCTAAAGGCTAGGCAATTGGGTAACACAAACATTACATTTTAATTAAGTTCTTTTTTTTTAAGTTTTTTTTTAGTTAACTCAAATTAAAAATCGAAAATTTTTATTAAAGTTATTTTTTCATATTTATAATGAGCACGTAAAAAACTAAGGGCGTCTAATATAGTTTCAGACAGATGACCTTATTTTATAACAATAGTTCTTCAATTTCTACAGAATATACTAAACTCTACAATATTGCCATGTGCATGTAATCGGATAAAAAATAACTGTTAATAATAATAATAATAATAACGCACACACTCAATATAGCCCCGCACTAGGGAAACCCTGTGTCGCGGGTGCCATGGACACACACATACACAACCACAAATTACACCCAAACTCACGAGAGAAATAAATGTAGGTCATACAAATATTTCTCCCGGCCCGGGAATCGAACCTGGGACCTCTGCGTGGCAGTCCGGCGTGGTAACCGTTCGGCCACCGAGGCAGTGTTGCTTTATTATTATTGTTATTTATGATACGAAGTGAAAGAAAGAACAAGTCGTGCCCCTGATGCAGTGACACGCCTGTCCATACTAGTTGCAGTGTCACTCAGAGCTTTAAATTGCAAAGATCTGAGGGTCACTGCTAACGCGTCCGTCACCCAGAGACATACCCTTCAAAACCGAAACACAGTAATCCTGACATTACTGCTTGGCAGTAGTAAGAGACAAGGTGGTAGTACTTCTCTGGACGAACTCTCTCACAAGGAGTTCTGTTTCTGCTTCTAATGTGCATGTAACCAGAATACTTTTGAAGAAAAAACTACTTTTGCTTTACTACATTTGTAATACTGTTGAATTAAATAACTTAATAGACCCCTAGTAGGGACACGATGCATTGCACTTTAAGTTGTAGCTTGTGTTCTTGCGCGGTGTACAAAATTCCATAAAACAAATAACATATTCACGTCTATCAGCACAACAAAATATATCTCAAAATTATTTTTTTTTTCCACGAACATCCGTAAATCAAAAATCTCAAAGTTCGCAGACGGACAAAAAACTAAAAGCGTTGTTAGTAATTATTTAGATCTGAATTATGTATTGTTTATATAGTTTAAGCAATTGTTTTTCTATCAAATATAATCACGTTGACCTCTGACGGGTTTGCATTATTATGTTCTATAATCGAAACAGTAAATACAACTTTAGTACTCCATTATTAGAGTAGAAATGCTAGCATGTTGCGTGGTACTGCAAAGAGCACAAAACGTTGGTTTGTTTGAAAAACCAAATATACACGATTTAGATGGGAAAAAATAGTTTCTTTCTTATGTGTAGCAATCGTGAAAACCTACGAACTTAACGTATACGACTACCGTTTTCATATAAAATGACTAAATATATAAAAATTTGTGCAAAAGTGGACATTATTCGGTAATGAAAAATAACAAAGCGTAAAAATACAACACTCAAAAATTACACTTAACTAGTTTTGCAAAAACGTAATATAATGGCCCCTACATTGTGAAGCAGTATTAAAAGTATGTATCTCGTACATATCTCCTATAATTTCTGCTATAATATAAAAACTATGTTATTATATATACGTCTACATGTACAACATAATTCCAAGACTCTTATGGTCAATATAAAGAACCGGTTTTGAAGTTCAACTTGTGCTCTTCGCTCAGGTAGTGATAAAAACTTTATTTACGCAATAAAGAGTAAACAGAGTACGCGGTGTAACAGAATTCCTAAGTGATATTTTACACAAGGGACCTCTGTCCATGATACTGATCAATTTCAGCTCAGTAGAGATCCTTGTGTAAGAGTTCGTCCAGGGAAGTACTGGCGCCTTACCTACTTCTGACGCCAAGCAGTAGTGTGAGCATTACTGCATTCCGCTTTTGAAAGGAAAGGTGCTGGTGCAATTACAGGCACGTGAGACTTGTCAACTTATTTCTCAGGGTGACGGGTGCAGTGGCAGTGTCTCTCAGATCTTTGCGATATAAAGCCCGAGTGGCATTGCGTGGATAGGCGCGTCGATTACAACCAGGTGTGCTACTTTTTGGTCCCGTCGCTATACTTAAATATATAAGAGAGAAAATCTGCTTTTAACGCAACTCGTTAAAAAGCAGACTGCCCTGGGGCATTGCGAACACGAGGTTCGCAACTTAACTCCTTTGGAACCTTTTCGGAAGTAGCTATCGTAGGTCATAGAAGGCTTCAAACAAGACGAACAGAAAGCTTCTTTGTGAATCCAGGCTGTTGCTTTAGTAGGTACATAAAGAAGAAAATGAATTTGTTTCTCAGAACATATTTTAAAAAGCCTGATAGAAGTTATCGAGGTTTTTGTTGAATCAACTGAGACTTCGGATCCTTTAGCTGGTGATCTTATGAAATAAAGCGATTGTGAAGAGAGAAAATAATTTGTGACATACCAATCACTATCTAAAATAATAGCTGGACGTTAGCTTATCTTCAGATGGCACAGCCGCTTTAGGCACTTAGTTGTTTGATATTCATGTAAAGTTGATATGTATAACTTAGAGTCTAGAAAATAATTTTCACTCTTTAACTTAAGAACTTAATTTGAACTTATATGTTTTATTTATATCATAAGGCGATGCGGACCACTCATGCAATGAGCCATTGCGTATTCCACCACCTATCTGACGAACTCACCAGCGCTTAGAGCACGTCTTTCTTTCGGTTTAGGCTAAAAATGTGGGTAATCCAGCGCCGCTTTTTTAAATTTACCGGTTTTTTAATTTTAAATAATGTTAGTTTATTGTATGTAGTTATTATTTTTCTTTAATATCAGTTTAAAATGCTATTTAATACATTTGTTTATATCACATTTTCATTGACATTTACGGAACTAAATTGACATGTAATGGAAAATTATGAATAAATGATTATATTCTTTTAAGAGGAAAGCAAAATAAGTAGTAGTTTTGCGTATAGCAACAGCTATAATGTTCATTATGTTCGTTTTATTTATTTTATTTTCGTTTTATGTTAGTGGCTTTTGAGGTATATTTTTGTGATTTGGTACAAAAATATTGCGTAAGTAGGCACTTCTGGTAGGCGACAG